GGGCTGCGGGTGCCCGGGGAGGGGTGACGGGGCGCAGGTCCCCCCCGGGACGGGGCTGCGTGGTGACGGGGCGCAGGTCCCCACGCGCCCATGCCCATGCCCCCTCCTTCTGCCTGTGTCCCCGTGTCCCTGCGTGACCGTGTCCCCGTCCCCGTGTCCCCGTCCCCGTGTCCCCATATCCCCATGTCCCCATGTCCCGGTGTCCATGCCACCTCCGTGTGCCTCCATCCCCGTGTCCCCATCCCCACGTCCCCATGCCCACGTCCCCGTCCCCACGCCGTGTCCCCGTGTCCCCGCGCCCACCCCGCGGCCCCGCAGACACCTTCGCCAGCAAGGTGGCCGCGCTGCAGGACCAGTGCGCGGACGCCTCCATCGGCAACGTGACGGGCTCCAACGCCGTCAACGTCTTCCTGGGGCTCGGCGTCGCCTGGTCGGTGGCCGCCATTTACTGGGCGGCGCAGGGCCAGGACTTCGAGGTGCAGACGGGGACCTTGGCCTTCTCCGTCACCCTCTTCACCATCTTCGCCTTCGTCTGCATCAGCGTCCTCATGTACCGCCGCCGGCCCCACATCGGGGGCGAGCTGGGGGGGCCCCGCACCCCCAAACTCCTCACCGCCGGCCTCTTCCTCGGCCTCTGGCTCCTCTACATCCTCTTCGCCAGCCTGGAAGCCTACTGCCACATCAAGGGCTTCTGAGCGGGGACGGGGACCGCCCGGCGTCACCCCACCGCGAGGGGCGAAGGGGCCGGGTCCTCCCCGGGGGGGCTGCAGGGTCCGTCCGGTGTCACCGGCTCCCCTTGAGGTGCACGTGCCCATGGCCCCTTGGGGTCCTCCTGGCATCCTCATGTCCCCAGAGGGTCCCCATGTCCCCCTGGGGTCCTCCTGGCATCCTCATGTCCCCTTGGGATCCTCCTGGCATCTCCACATCCCCTTGGGGTCTTCCTGACGTCCCCATGTCCCCTTGGGGCCTCCTGCCACCCCCGTGTCCCCAGAGGGTCCCCGTGTCCCCTTGCAGTCCTCCCAGGGGGCTGCGTCTCCACAGGGTCCTCCTGCCATCCTCGTGTCCCCTCAGGGTCCCTGCGTCCCCTCGGGATCCCCATGCCCCCTCAGGGTCCTCCTGTCACCCTCGTGTCTCCATAGGGTCCGCATGTCCCCTCAGGGTCCCCATGTCCCCTCGGGGTCTCCACGTCCCCTCGGGGGTCTCTGCATCCCCCAGGGACCCCCGCAGGGTCCTCCCAGACACCCCACGTCCCCTCAGAGTCCCCACGTCCCCAGAGGGTCCCCACGTCCCCCCTGGGGTCCTCCTGCCATCCCCAGAGGGTCCCCGTGTTCCCTAGGGAGCCCCCCAGGTCCCCCCGTGTCCCTCTGTCCCCCAGGGGGACCCCAAGGCCACCTCAGGGACCCCCGGGACCCCCAGGGCCACCGGGGGCTCCGGGGGGGCCTTTTCTTACCGCCAGCGTTTTTTAAAGCCACCCCGGGGTGGGGGGTCCCTGTTTTTAACCCCGATTTCGTAGCGGTTTCGTCCCTTCCCGGG